TTACGTTTGGAACTATACCATAAATGTATTGCCTTACTTTGTTGTACTGAATTGTGTTTTGCCTGTATGTATTCTTTTTTTTTTTTTGCCAATATTCTTTTTCTTGAATTTGTCTTTTTGTATTGTTTTCTGTGCCACGGCTGCCAAATGTAAGGATGCGGGGCCGAGGGCTCGTCAAGCTGCGTCATGCAGCTTTTTTGCCTCGGTCTCCCTCCATCATATACTTTTTGACGGAAAATAAAACACATTAGTATTAGTATTATATTCTATTGGATATGCTGTGTTATTGAAGACCTTTCTCAAATCCTGTTCGTATAACGCGGCAGACTGGGGTATGTACAATATATGTTGTTCGATTGATGAGACTCGTTGAATTTCAATGTTTGTTTCATAAGATTAAACAAACATTCCAGTTGTATTTGTTCCGCGCACGGACTCGCCAAAAATATCTTTCATTAGTTTTATTCTAAAAATAGTACAATGCGTTCTTAAAATCCTTAAGAAAATCTATTCGCCACGAAAAAAAAACGGCCATTTAGCCGTTTTTAAGCGCGAGACACATGCGCGGAAAATTCATATGATCCGACGTCTGATCCGGCAGTACGACTGCGTGATCCGTAAAATTTCGTCGCTTCAGACGTCAGATCGGCGATCCGGCGTGCGTCCAACGTGCCAGATAGTTTCGCACGACGGACGGACTGTCGGAAGCGTCCAGCCAATGACAGCACAGCTAGCGCGAACGTTATGATGACGTCTGGGTCTGGCGGGACGAACAAGAAAACGGGACGGGCGACGGGAAGCGGGACATGTGGATCCCGCTGACCCATTCGAAAAAGATGGCCCCGGCAAAGAATGCACGCGCTAGCGAGAACGAGCTCCTAACTTCGCTCGTGCGAGCTAAACCGTCAATCTGGGACACGGTGATCTGGGACCAGAGATCTATGAACACGGACCTCCGGTGAAGAGCTTGGACCTCCTGGGCGGATTCTAACAATGACTGATCCCTCCGTACTCCTAGCACTATCATGCAGGAGGCCGAGGAGGTGGCAATCGCTTTGGCCGTCTCCCATGCCGCACGTTCACACAACACCGACACTTCCCACAAGATTATGATCATCACCGATTCCCAAGCTGCCTATCGCGCGTATGCAAGGAATACTATCCCATCACGCGCGGAACGTATAATCAACGCAATACCCACGGACTGGTCTTCTACACAAGATATCCGAATTCTGTGAGCCCCAGCACACTCCGGTCTACCCGGCAATGAGAGCGCTCACGCGCTAGCCCGTGCTGCAGCTATGAACCGGGGTTTGCCGGACGGGACAGAGTGGGAGGGCCCCAACACGAACACCGAACAGGACACGACCGACTTTAATGTACCCACAACACATAAAGACGCCATCCTGGACACATACGCACTCGTCACAGAATACTACCCTTACTAGCCGCCGAACACTTCCACCTCCCCATCCCGAACTCACCCGGGCCGAGGCGATGGACTGGAGGCAAATACAAACGCTTTTCTTTGCTAATCTCTTTCATAAACACCGTTGTTTTCCAACCCGCTACCCGGGCACCTGCCCGGGATGTGAAACCCCCCCCCACCCACAGTTGACCACACCGTCTGGAAATGCCCTAGCCCTCCAGGCAAGGGGTCACCCCAACTCCTTCCCCTACCCCAACCTCCTGGGAGGCGGCCCTGTCCAGCCTAAAGTCACTGGATCGGCTCCTATCCAGTGACTTTAGTCCAGCCCAGAGCTCGTGGACCAGCGTGCCCGCCGGTTCGGAGAAGCCAACGGAGCCCTGGACTAAGGGCTCCTACCGGGAATCATCGGCCTCCTAACCTTTTGAAAAAATGAAGTTCTACCACCACCACGGAACGGATCCTCGTGTCGCATGCAAGGTCGGAAGTGTGTGTCTCAACTGTCGCGTGCGGCTATTCGGAGCGGCGTTCGGACTGTCGGATCGGACTTCGGATCGGACGATTCTGCCGTCCATGTGTCTCGAGCTTTAGCGTCGCAGGCTGCCACTGCCCACTGACGAGAAAACTTGCAGCCCAGCGCAGTCGGGCAACACTGACGTACCCTCGCCAAACCAGGGACGCGCGCTGTAAATCGCTTCGTTCGCGGCTGCCGCTGGAAAGACCGTTTTATTATGGTGGCTGGAAGGGAAAGTGTGACGGATGCCATATGCGCGCAACGATAAAAAGGGGCGCGAGACGCGATGGAAATATTTAGAGAGCCTAGATTATAGAGAGGGTCCATCTCAAACCACGGAGTGCGTTTACAATTTAATGGCGGAAGCCACCTGTGAAGATTGGTCGCAAGTATGCATGACGCTGCGTTTTGGCGTGGCGAAGAGGAAAGCAGGCGGAGAGGCTGACACTCGCAGAAGACCAACGCGTTCGTCACACCTCCTCGCACCTCGTATTGCAAACACGGCCCATACACCACGTGACACTGATCGAGCAGTTAGAAACTCTCTGTAATGTAGACTCTGTCAAAATGTTCGGCACCTTTCCAGCGGCAGTCTCGAACGAAGCGATTTGAAGGGCGCGTCCCTGGTTTTGAGAGGGTACGTCAGCGTTGCCCGACTGCGCTGGGCTGTGGGTTTTCTAGTCAGTGGGCTGTGGCAGCCTGCGTAGGCGCACTTCTGGACACTGGTGGAGACTAAATTGCCGTGTTCTATTTTTTTATTTTGTGTTCTATGGCGAATTGAATTTCTCGGGTTTTTTAAGAATGCATTGTATTCTTTTTGGAAGCAAAAACAAAGACATAAAAGCTGTTTTGGTGAGTCCGTGCGCGACAGAACAAATGCAGCTGAAATGTTTGTTTTATATTATGCTGATCTTTTTACGGCACCATACACTCAGTCGTGTAAATCTACAAAGGTCTTGACCGTCGAAAATATTTGACCACACACGATATCCGAACTGCATGGATATTCCCCGCTCACGACATAAAATTCAACCAATGTCATCAATCGAACAACATATATTGTACGTACCCCACGGTGCCGTGTTATCCGAACAGGATTTGAGAAATCTCTCAAATAACAGAGTATCTTCAATATACAGTGTCGATGATAGTCGCTTCACGACGATCGGACGGAATCCGGCGTGTTTTGGGGCACATGTAGAAGAGAGCTGCTTTTTTGCACAGCTTCAAAGCAAAACCCCGGACCCGACCCCATCAGCTATTTTTCGCGAAGACTCGGAACATAGCAGGGAATACTTTTTGGAGATTATCTGAACGGAAATAATCCTCCAAGAACACGTCGAACTGCCTACGTCGCGGGCTGCTTGACGTTCGCTCTCTTGGTTCGTTTCCTGCGAAGGCCGAGCAGGCTACGAGCCCCGGTATTCCCTGCTTCTCACAGTGGAAGCCTAACACACAAAAGGTAAGCATCCTAATAAGGCAAATAAAGTAAAAACTTTCAAGAAAAGCCAGCGAACTCCAAAGGCACAATGCAGTTGGGGAGTCACGCTGACCGGGCTTCCACAGCTCAGGCGGGTGGCAGAAATTTCTGGCTGATAGGGGTCGATCGTTTTGCAAAATGGCGGCGGTCAGAGAGGTCTCTGGTTATGGTGGGCGCACAGCAAGATCGGGGATCACGGGATATGGACGCCATGTAATTCCTAAATTTTGCTGCGCGTACCGGGGCAAAGGGTCGTTTTATTGCCTTGCTCTGGTCATAAGAGTCCATTAATGTACTTGAATAATTTACGCCAGGTATAAATGATTACTTTTCTATAGCCGTCAGTTTTGTTTAACGCGAAAAATGGTAGATTCTGCCATCTTCGACGTTGCTGCTTGTCTGGCAATCCTGCTTTCTCTACTCGACGTTTGCAATTCCCGGAGCGAGAAGGAAGCGAGAAAGGCTACGCCAAGGCGCTCGTTGCTGCAATGGGAGGCGAGAGGAAAGGCACATGGGGCAACAGAGCGTGCGTCTGCTCTCGTGCAGGCAACATTGGCGCATATCCTTTCCCAATCCCCTCCCTCCGGCTCTCCAGGATTTGAGAGTAGCGCAATCTACCGGGTGGTTCAAGGAGACGGCAGGCTCTTTAAATCGACCGCAAAATTCGGTTTCCTAACCTATCGCGCTACGACTTTGTGCAGCGTTGCCCACAGATGGTGCTTTTTTTTCGTAAAATTTGCAAAGAGCGAGCTTACCTAAGGAAAAAGTAAAGAAAGAAAAAGGCTTAGCTCCTATGGAAACGCAGCGACGCCACCGGTCTTGAAACAACATGGCGCCGTTTCGCACGGGACACAAGAGATGGCGCAACGAACGCCGCCAACGAACGAGCATACGGTGCCGAGAGCCGGCGTTTTTAGCAGACGATCTTTTCGACTCAAAAGCGGCGCGCGTTCCGCAAACGGTGACAGTCGCAGAAACAAAAACAGGCGCGGTAACAACAAGCAACAGCAGTTCCTTGTCTGCTAAAAACACCGGCTCTCGTTGTCGTCTGCTCGTTCATTGGCGGCAGTTGGCGTCGCGACCGCTTGCGCCATCTCTTGTCTCCCGTGCGAAACGGCGCCGTGTTGTTTGAAGACCGGTGGCTTCGTTGCGTTTCCATAGGAGCTAAGCTTTTTTCCTTCTTTACCTTTTCCTCAGATAAGTTTTCTGAAATGTGATTTCACATTTCAGAAAATAACTTTTGAATAAGATAATTGTTTGTTCTGAAACTTCTGGCATCCGGTCCGAACCGCTAACGCTATATTTGAGCGGAAACAGGGCTTTCGCGTAGTTTATTTTCGTAATGGGGAAAACATTGTCCTCTTTTCTCAATACCCGGTACATATAAAATATCGTAAAACGCATCGCTAACCAAATAAGTGGAGCTACTTGGCTCTTTAATGCGGTTATATTCAACAATGATGAATGATGACGTTGCCCGCACAGCCAAAGCCCGGCGGAAGGCGCCCTGAAGGCAGAGCACCTACTCGATTCTTAATTTGCCGCCGACTAGAAATATTTGACGTGAAACCACTGGCCGCTTCTGTTTCCCCTTCCCATCTTTTATTTGCAAACCCAAAACAATTTACAAGAGAGAACATAGCATGCTTCAACCGCGTAATCAAAGTAATCTATGTGGGGTATAGTTCTAGGAATCACTACAAATCAATCATGCCGCATGGCCCAAGATGTTGCTGGAAAAGCAACGATAAATAGTTGGACCGAGAGGAGCGACCACGTCAAATGATTTGGTTTTGTGTTCATTTGAAGACTCATGAAAGAAAAGCCTTAATGTTCTCCTTTATGGGCTTCTTACAGACTGAACAAACTTGGAGAGTCGCGGAGCAGCTTTCGCAGGCCACCAGGTGGAAGCAGGGGGAAAAGATCACCTGGCGATCGTTCTTGTGACACAGCAGGCAGCGAGAGTCCGTGGACTCCTGTCCCTTTGCCACGGCTGTAACACAGGACAAGGTTAGACACTCGGATGTATATTAACCACGACTTCTTGGCGCTCACTTGCGCGGTAAGCCACCAAAGGCGTATTTCACGGTACGCCTTTGGCGTACCATGAGGTACGCCTTTGTGGAAAAGGAAGTAAAAAGGACTACCCCTGTGAAAAATAAGTAAGAAGCATGGTGAAAAATGTGGAAGGAAAATGCAGAGAAAATCAGCTTTAACTCTATAGGGGACGAAGACAGGAAATAAGGAAGGAACATTGGTATGGTAATTCACGGGAGAGCTCGTTGTTATTTGAGGCTAGAACAGGAGTATTAAGGACTAGGAGGTATAGGACAAAGTGTGAGGATAGACACGCGGTGCGTCGTATGCCAAGGGGAAGATATGGTTTTGAGGTGCACATGGATTACTCCCGCCCTTCCGGAGGGATCGACGGATTTAGCCGGAGGACTGGGGTTTGCAGACGAGGATGGAACAATGGATGATACGTGCATTTTCATAACAAAGGAGGTTGGAAGACTGCTGGAAATTATCTAGGAAGAATTTAATGGCGTGCAACTAACTAACACAGCTGAGGACTGGCGGGACAGAGGAAAAATCGGATTATGACGCGCCCAAGCGCGCCCCAACTGAGCAAGTTGGCCGGCGTCCTGAGGCCGTACTTGCAGACTTTCTGCCTGCTTTCCTCATCGCCACGCACTTACAGCCGTCCTACGCTCTCAACTCCACTGCCCATGTCAGCCGCTGCTTATTCTCGGAAGACTCCGACCCAAAGTCTCAACCCTGTCTCCAAGTGAGCCTGTTGCTGGGTAACGCCGACTAGATTTGACCAGAGGAAAATTGGCGATTCCGCCGCAGGGAGAAGAGGCGAAAGTAATGTTTTTTGTTTGTTTTTTTGCCAGATTTTTTAAAGGTTAATCTGGTGATATCCCACACCGTATGGTGATAGTTACGAAATTGCAGAGGGGAAGCAAATTGGCTTAGAAGGGCGAAGAGAGAAATCATACTTTTAGATATTGGTGACGCAAGCTACCGCCCGGTATAAAGCGTACAGCCGTTAGGATCCATCCATCCATCCCTCCATTCATCTATCTATCCACAGACCAAAAGCTCGTTTTTTTCTACCACAAAGACTACAATCAACGGGAAAATAGAGTGATTCCACCCAGACTTGTGCCCGTTACTCCACAAAAGTAATTAATGAAATTCTATGCCCTAAAAAGTAATAGATTACCGGTACAACTTACTTGCCGTAATAAGTAATATATTAATTACTTCATTGACTCGATTACTTTTGCATTACTCCAAAGAAACACGTAAAATACATGTATTGTCCACAGTGTGTTTGAAGGGCGAATTTTTGTCGCGATCAAAAATAAAATGCAAATATAATACACTAAGTACGATCTACCGACTTGAATAAGTGTTCGAAATAAATAAGTCTTGCGTTAATCAGCCGATACAGAATTGAATCATATATGAACACGCAACAGTGCACATCGGAGGTGAAGACACGCACACTTTTGGAAATAATCCGAGTTCAGTATTGGCGAACTGCAAGACACGATTCCCCTGAAGATGATGTTCTCTATATTTACTGAATGCTGCCTAAATAAGAAAATATTATAAAACATCCCTTATTTAGCCGCACTAAAACTAACTGCAGTGAAACCAAGATGCGGTACTTGCATTCAAGTACACTTCGAAGACTGCTGACCCACATTTGATGTTCTGTCTCGCTCACTAAACTCATCAGAACCAACACTTCACACATAATATTAAGACAGGAACTTTTATCTGAACTGATTATGCCGTTTCGAAATTATCAAGAAGCATCATTCACAGTGATCAGCAGGTCAACGTCCCTCACGCGCTTACAGCCGTCCTACACTCTCAACTCCACCGTCCATGTCAGCCGCTGCTTATTCTCAGAAGACTCAGAGATACTTCCCTTTTCTTTAAAGTTTGGTCTAAGTCCCTGCATACACAAACCACTGACGAGGACCTTCAGGTCCTTGTTCTTCAGAATCAGTGTTTTCAAGATTTCCATAAACGTGTTGTATTGTCACCAAACATTTTTCTTCACTCAACGCAGTGCACTAATTGCAAATGTAAACCGATTGGCCTCGAGATCAACCCAGAGGTGGCGCTACTGTCGCGCTATCATCAGCATCAAAGCGGGGATAGAAGCACGGCCGCCCCATAGGCTCTCCACGTTCGCGCGCGAGATGGCGTAGATTCTTGCGTTTATTTTGTCGCATAGATATCAGTGGGAAAACAATTCTAGCGGAAAATGGTGAGGTACTGTTCGGTGCTTCAGTGAAGATCGAACCGTGTTACCAGGGTACGCCTAAATTTAAATAACCGTTCATATGGATGCGTCGTCTGCTCTAGGCAGACGTTGGGAAGCGTGGATCACTATGACGGATGCCTGTCTCCGGGTGAACGGCACTATTTATGTCAAATATTTGCTTCTTTTAGAATAGACGTATCGGTTCACCAGCGTGGAATTTCAACAAAACAATTAATTCCAACCCGGATAACATAATACTCGTAGTGTGGGCTGTGAAATCGCAGGTTCAATGCATTTTTTTAACTTTTAGCTTTTGCAGTAATATAAATATTTAGCGTGAAGAGAAGTTAGTGCTGTATTGGAAATTACCGTTCTGTTGAGTTCCTCTGCAGCCAATGTTTCCCTATACTGTGCCATGGTGTGGGAAAGTTTTTCGTAGTGTGAACAATTCTACTACGTTGCGATGAAGAGAGAGTGCCTCTTCTAGGTTACGACCCGCAAACTGCACGTTGGCAGGACAACTGAAATAAGTGAAACAAACTGTTCTAATATATCTGCCGCGAGTGTAATAAACCAGTGTAACCGAGCAACGCAGCAATTAACGTTCGTGTTATTAAATGCTCTTAGTGTGGGTTCACCCGCTTCAGTTTTCTTGGTGAGGGCCGCGCATGTCAAGAGGCTAATATTATAAATTTCTGGCTAAATAATCTTCTATTCAAACATAGTAGATTCTGCAACTCCAACAAACGAACCGCACCACGACACAGACAGCATCGGTCGGAGCTACTCTTTTACTGATGAGGGCTAGCGACGTTCACGAGACTTTCCGATCAGTCTCCGCCCTCGGACAGTTCATCGATTAACCTCCAGATAATCAAATGATGCTGTAATTGCGATTATTCTTGCTATTTAATCGGAATCATGTGCTGACGAAAGTCAGCAAAAAGTAAAAAAAAAGAAAATGCCTGCTTTCATATTTTTGACGTTTTTATTTCTTTTCTAATACAGGCTTGCACAGTAAACCACTTCAAGGGGACTTGTGATTGTCACCGAGGATGATTATACTGTTTATATAATCACTTAAAACTTCATTTTAAAAGGCTTCCCGTGTTCATATGTAGGCGTCACAACTTGAAGTTTAAAAGGGGAATGCAATATGCTATTTATGGCATAGTGAAAATAGTTTAAAAAATGTGTACTTTTAACGTCTTTCGTGGAATATGACCGTCGAAAAGTCAACTAATAGATTTAGCGATTGATTAGTCTATTAAAAAGTAGCGATCCGTCGGGTTAATTTTTTAATTAAACCACAGCTGCAATCAACATTCAATGTTTTATGAAAGTTGTGGTTTGTCCTAGATAACAAAAATACGTGGGACCAGCGGTTGTATACAAACCAACACACTAAGATTATGAAATCTTCCGACTTAATGATAATCGCTTTGCTGAATTTATACGCACGTGAAACGATACAACATAACCTTTAGTAAGAAGAAACGACAACAAAAACATCAAACATTTCATAAGGAGGGCCGAGCTCAAGCGGAAACGGGCTAGCGTCGTCGAGATCCACGCTTCTGAACGTGCGCCCGTAGCAGACGACGCACGGCAGTATCCCCGCTTTCGCATGTTTCCAATTTCAGCCGCACGGTGGCGACACGGTTCAATCTCGAGGAGGATAGTTCTGTTAAATATCTCGGTGTCTACGTGAACGAGTACATGCTACGGAGCAAACAGGTCAAATTTACGACAAAAACGCTGCGCGGAATTTTTGCGTATTTATATAAAGTAAAAAAGTGTAGTTTGAAGCTGCTGGTATTTAGGGCTTTAGCGGAGTCTTCAGTACAAACCAAGAACGATAGAAAGGATATTAAGCAAATGATCAATAACACGAGGTCGCACGTGACCCTCGTGCCGTCACACGGCACCTAAGTTTAGCGGGACTATTTCCCCGCTAAATTTTGCGGGGAAATTTTCTCGCCAAATTTATCGGACAAAATTCCCAGCTAAATTTAGCAAAAAATTTCCCGTTAAAATTAGCGGAAAACTTTCCCTGCTAAATTTAGCGAAAAAATTCCCCGTAAATTTAGCGGAAAAATTTCCCCGCTAAATTTAACACAAAAATTTCCCCGCTAAATTTAGCGTAAAAACTCCCCGCTAAAATTATCGGAAAAATTTGACCGCTAAATTTAGTGAAAAACTTTCCCCACTAAACTTAGCAGAAAAATTTCCCCACTAAATTTAAAGCAAAATTTCCCCGCTAAATTTAGTAAGGAAATCTTCCACGCTAAATTTACCGGAAAAAGTTCCCCGACGAATTTACCGGAACAGATTTCCCCGCTAAATTTAGCGGAAAATTTTCAAGCTAAATTTAGCGGGAAATTTTCCCCGCTAAATTTATTGGAAAACATTCCCCACTAAATTTAGCGGAAAAAACTTTAGATGAAATATTTCATCTAGGAACTTTAGATGAAATAAGAATTAGTGAAGATAAACATGGTTCCAATTAGAAAATTGCTCAGCGTCATCGAAAACCACTAACTCAGTGATTTTCAGAAAGACTTTGAGCGCTTGAGAAGCGTAATAGTGCACTAAATGTAGCACTCGTGGAGCAGGTACAAGGCTAGGGCTAGATAAGAGGCGGAAAAATCGCGCAGGCGCCTTACCGCAACCGCTAGCCTTGTACCTGCTCCACGAGTGGTAACTTTAGTGCACTACTACGTTTCCCACGCGCTCAGTCTTTCTGAAAATGATTGATATAGTGGTTTTCGATGACGCACAGCAAGTTTCTAACTGGAACCATATGTCTATTTTCATCATTTAAAAAGTTAATTAACGAATTTTAATTAATTAGCCGACTTGTCGCAAAAATTAGCCACCTACATGATGTCCCCTTGGTCGTATAACTCACTCGAACAAACCGCATAAGTGTAGTTTTCATGTTTTTTTTAAACACATCTGTAATGAATAAAAAAAACACCCTGTATATAACCGGTATTAACAATAAACAACAAACAACAAAAACTATATCAAACAAGAAAACACAATATGATAATATATGTCTATATGACACCGATTATAACACAAGGTGACTACGGAAATAAAGTTCAGTTGTAAGTTAGCGGTGTCTCTGTCTAACTTCCTTGTCCGTGTCTCGTTGCGCTTTTTAAATATTATGAACCGCCAACTAGCCCAACATTCCACCCCTGTCACCTTCGAAGGGGGTTCGAATGTGAAGGAGTGTGAGAATGTGAGCTGAAATGGTCTACTGAGCATACCTACTGCGCATTAGGAGGCCAGAGAGTACAAGAAACCCGGAGGGGGGGGGGGGGGGGGGAGTTAAGGGATGCTATTGGATTAAAAGGACGCACGTGCGCACTGCGCGGTTCCCGGCAGCATGTACGGCGCGCCGTCAGGGAGCGCGGCGATGCAAACCGGTCGGCGCTCCGGTGTTATCTGTGTACCGTCACTTACGTGACCAAGTTTTTGTGACATCGATCTCCCAGCTTTCCACCTCCCTCCAAGTGCAAAAAAAAAAAATGTAATTCAACGTAAAAAAGAAAAGAGCGCACGGACGAGTTTGGAGACGGACACTATACGGACTTCCACTCTATCTCTCCCTTCGATAGGACGGAATAAATCTAGCGAGTAATTGTCAGTAATTCCTTACTGAAAAAGTAATCGAATTACATTACAAATAAAAACAGGTACTTGATTATAAGTAATTCCGTTACTTCCATGGCTTTTCCACAGTGAGTAGACAGAGAGCCCGTCACGAAAGGTGACAGGTTAACGGCGGCATATGCCGCCGTTAACCCGTCACCTTTCCTAAGGAGGTTTTCGACACCCAAGAGCAGCCTGTGCCCAACGGGAGCATAAAGTAGGCGAGGGTCGATCCTTCAAGTTTTAGTATACGTACATTCGGCGCTGATGGAACTTTTTTGCAGAGACACAGTTTCCTTGATGGCTGCATCCACTTCGTGCTCGTCGTGGATGCGGTCTTGCTGACCTCGAGAGATGAGTAGCTTGACGGCGTTGCGGACTGTCGCCGCGGTGATGCCGAACTCTTGGAAAAAGCTCCGTCGCGATGCCTCTCCGTCCAGGTACCGAGTCACTGCCTCTTCAACCTGGTCGTCCGCTGCACTGTCGTTGGCGTCTCCGCCGTTGTGATCCGTGGCCGCCTCCTGTAACGCTTGCAGGTGCTCGTCCTGGATGCGCTGCACCTCGGCGTCCCCGAGTGAAAGGCGCACGAACGGGCAGTCGGGGTACCAGCGAGCGTGTTCCTCGATCGGGGAGTCGCCGTCGTCCCATTGATACAGACCGCCGCCGCACTGGAAGCACACGGCCCGGTCGCACTCCATGAAACCTACGAGGAGACGTCACAGGAGGCCACCTTAGAGCACTTGCCGCCGGAAATGGATCGAACCTGTTTTAAAGGGACACTGAACACGGTGCAAGACTTCTTCTAAAAATGATCAAATTCAAGTTTTCACTGTCATGGAGAGCCCACCCTTACAAAAAAAAAAAATGAAACGAGTTTCAATTGAAAGTCATTCAATTGAACTGAAACTCAATTGAAACTCATTGATCATTTTTGTAAGGGCAGGAGTTCGTCCGGAGCATCTCCTACCAGTTCTTCTTACGTTGCAACACACAGGGTACATTTTTTTTGACAAATTCTTCGCGAAAACTGAGTGAAACTTTACCTCTACTGAGGCACTAAATTTCTACTGAAAATCCGAAAGAGCGTTGAATATGAAACCTCAGCTGCCTCAGTGCAGACGAACCCGGACTATGGGCGGACGCGTCAGGCGCACGTTTTGCTTCCCTCTCGCTAGAAACCCTTAAAAATGCTTTCTGTCAAAACCACGGAGAGCGATTTCAGTTTAATGGCGCACGCCTCCTGAGCGAATTGGTTGAAAATGATGATGATGGTGTTGATCACCATCAACCGATCTGTCGCGCGTACGCATGCGTCGCCACGTGGCGAGAGGGATACCGGACGGAGAGGCCGAGCAAAGCTTCGAGTCGCTTGCAAACGATCGACGTTTTCGCCTCCTCCTCGCACCGTTGCAAATCGTTTCATAGATTGTGACTCCGATTGCGTACACTCTAAGAAAAGCCTGCGCGTCTACTTACCTGCCAAACACTCAAAGAGCCAATCTCTGCGATTTACGAAATCAGCTCAGCGAATGATGAGGCGGAACATCTGTTTAGACCTCAAAATTAAGTCTGCGCTGTGGCATTACGCAATGCAAAACGTCATGCTTGCATTGCGTGATGCCACAGCGCAGACTTCATTTTTAGGTCTAAACAGATGTTCCGCCTCAGCATTCGCTGAGCTGATTTTGTAGATCGCAGAGATTGGCTCTTCGAGTGTTTGGTGGGTAAGTAGACGCCCTGGCATTTCTTAGAGTGTAGTTGGAAACACTCTCAAATCTAGGCACGTTATCGCTGTCGCGCGAGGCGCCACCTGTGCACCGGTAAACGTGTGAGCGCTCTATTCCGTCTAATAGTTATAGTCTAAAAACAAAATGATCTGTTTCGTTTTGGATTTGGTCAATTGACCGATCTCACCAGCCAGTTTCGTTACGGCGTAGTTTCTTTGCGCCACCGTTGCCGCGGCATGCATCGTGGGAATTGTAGTTTTTCTGCACGCGCGTCCACCCAGCAGAAGGTCTGCGCGAGCAGAGCACAAGACGACACGGGCTATGTCTCGTGCACTGCCTCTAGCTGTAAACTACAGTTATGGCGGCACCACGCATGCGTGGAACGTCTATGAGCTCGACCTATTGATGCCCGACAGCAGAATACTTCCGCTACGGGTCTGAAGTATAAAAAGCAAAACAAAAATGTTTTGCGCATTATTTATGCGAGGCGGGAAGTAGTCCTTACAAGATTTAGTTGTCAAGGGAAGACGCTTGTGGTGTTTAAAGTGTACGTCTTATAAAATAACATAAATCCAATCCAAGATGCACGTACAATATCTTAATTCAACACAGGAAGGGGGAAATTACTAACGCTCCGCGAAGAGCCGGACTTTTTTGTTTTACTACGGCTCTTGATGTGAATAGAAGTATTCGCCTCGAGATCGAACCGTGTCACCACTGTGTCACCACCGTGCGGCCAAAATTGGAAACATGTGAAAGCGGGGCCGCGCGTCGCCTGCTACGGGCGCACGTTCAGAAGCATGGACCTCGACGACGCAAGCCCGTTTCCGGTTGAGCTGGGCCCTCCTCATTAAAAGCTTGTCGCCTCTTTTTACTAAATGTTGTGTTGTATCGCTTCACACGCCTGGAAATTCAGCAAAGCGATTAACACTAAGTCGGATGCTTCCATAATCTTAGTGTTGTGGTTTGTAGAACCGCTGGTCCCATATATTTTTGTTATCTCGCATAATCGATAGTTTTCATAAAACGTTGAATGTTGATTAGAGCTGGGGGCTGATTAAAAAATTAACCCGAATGATCGCCACCTTTTAACAGACTAATCAATCGATACATCCGTTAGTTGATTTTTCTCGAGTAAAACTGCATGAAAGACGTCAAAACTACAATTTCTTTTACTCTTTTCACTGTCATCAATCCATATTGCAGCCCCATTTTAATCTTCACGTTGCTGCGCCAACAGAAATATGAACACAAGAAGCCCTTTATATTGGAGTAATTTTTAAGTTATTATTTAAACAGTATAATCCCCTTCGATCACACTCATAAGCATGCTGAAGTGGTTTACCGTGCAAGCCTGTGTCCTAAAGAAATTAAGAAGCCAGTGATATTAGAGCAGGCCTTTTTTGCTCCCCCCCCCCCCCCCTCTTTCTGCAGCACAACGTTCCGATTAATCGGCAAGGAAATTATCGCAATTAAAGCGTCACTCGAATAATCTGAAGGTTAATCGATGAACTGCCCAGTCCCGATATGCGTTAGGTTAGGGCAGAGGGTCATCGCGGAGTATCGTGAGAGTAGCTAGCCCTCATGAGTAAAATAGTATCTCTGCGGCCGATGCTGTGTGTCGTGGTGCGGGTCGTTTGTTGACTTGCAGAGTCTACTACGGTTGAATAGAAGATTATTTAGCCAGAAATGTTTAACCTTAACCTCTTGACATGCTCGGCTCGGCTCTCCCCGAGAAAACTGAAGCGGGTGAACCCACGCTACCGAGAAGAACATCTAATAACACGCACGCTGCTGCGCGTATTCGGTTACACTCGTTTATTCCACTCGCGGCAGATATATTATAACAGTGTGTTTCACTTGTTTCAGTTGTCCTGCCAACGTGCAGTTTGCGGATTGTAACTACAGGAGACACTCTCTCATCATTGCGAAGTAGTAGAATTGTTCTGACTCCAAAAAAACTTACCCACACCATGGCACAATAAAGGGAAAGATTTGCTGCAGCGGAACTCAATAGCACGGCAATTTCCAATACAGCAATAACTCCTCTTCATGCCAAATATTTATATTACTGCAAAAGCTAAAAGCTGTGACAAAAAAGAAATGCATAAAACCTGCGATCCCACAACCCCCAGTACCAGGAAAAGGGGGATAGTGTTTTTTTTTTTTTAAGTTCAAGCGCAGCCGACGCTACGAGCTAATGGGACCAACCAGACAGCGTTAAAAGTGCACCATCGTGGTGTTCGTGATGATACTGCAGTTAATGCAAAGGTGCAAGCGAGCTGGACCAGAATAACGACAATAATTCCTGGAGGGGAGGAACAAGGAGGACAAACGACAAACACAAATCTCCGAACCCAGCTAGGCGAATGGTGCACGACAGAAAAAATACGCCTGCTCCTGGTATCGAACAAGGGACCTCTCCACTTAGAGTGGAGCGCTTTACCAACTGAGCTAACCAAGAGTTATACGTCAGTATAAAGCCGATGTATTTTAACAAAAACACAGTGTGGGCGCAGGTGAGCTGGTGTAAGTTTACCATTTTTTTAAAACATCTGAGACTGAAAAAATAGAGTGCATGCGAGCTGGCGTAAGTTGAACATGATTGTAAACCTGAGACTGGGGCAGAAAAGTTGAGACGTTGCCTCCTCTTTTTCTACCTTCTGTTGTGTTCTCTTTTCTGCCCCAGTCTCAGGTTTACAATCATGTTCAACCCGAGACTGGGCGCTTTGATTTTGCTCGCGCCTAAGACGAAATAGAGTATAATATGTATTTGTGTTTTGACATAAAAGTTACATTAAAGGGATGCTGAACCAAAATCTGGATTCCCCAAAACACGCGGCAAAAGTGTGCAACGGGATGCTACAAACACCAAAACATCACTCATGCAGCGATGTCTCGAACGGATGACCGTATTTTTCAAAAAAAGAGGCGCATTTCGCAGGAATGTTGACGTCATGTTTCTCCGAGAAGGAGAGGGAACGGCCTCGCGTCTTCTCCGCCTCGCGGCCTTGAGGGAGCGAAGCGAAGAGAGGAGGAATCTAGGTACCTTGACGTCACGCGCCTCGTCGGCCTGGTTCTATCTCGACTTCTTTTTCCAAAAATACGGCCGTCCATTTGAGATATCGCCATACTAGTAGTGTTGTAGGGATTGTAGCGTCCCGCCTGCATCTCGAGTACTGTTTTTTTTTTTTTTTTAAATCCAAATTTCGGTTCACCATTCCTTTAAGAACGTGGCGACAAGAAGACCTCTTTGACGCCCTTTCCCTCCTTCACAAGAAGAGATAAACACAAAATGTAAAACGAGAACAAAACGACCTCCCACCTACCGTTGTAAAAAAGTCCCGCCTTGGCCAGCGTCTCTGGATCCCCCTTGAACTTCCGTACGTACTCGTCGCCGAAGGACTGCACGCGCGACACGAGTGTCTTGTAGTCAGGAAACATGGGGGCGGTCCGGTCGACAGCGCGCAGGCTCTCTGCGAAAGGCTGTCCATTGCTCTGGGGTGCGCCACCCGGATCTCTGGGCTCCTGGTCGCCATCCACCACATCGACCGGCTTGGGCGGAGGCTGGTACGCGATGTTCCCGATCGCCATGCTGATGACAACTGAAGTGACATCTTAATCAAAACGCGCGTTAGTGCCTTTCTGATCAGGATCCGGGAAAAATGGTCCCGAACAAAGTGGTCCCGATTGAATTTGCCGGCATTGTTTTCTTGCTCCTCGCGGTCCCTTACAAGTTGAATACAGGAACAGCACTACGAATGGCAACAGGTTCGCAATTCGTGCTGTAGCTACTTCGTATTTATATTTTTGTCTTTTTCTTGACGCAATCATTGTACTTGACAAGAAGTACGCTTAACTTTAGCATGGTGAACTTTTCGTAACATAGTATTTTGCAAACCTATCCTTTCAGGTTCATTTTCTGTCAAGCACAAACAATCGACAAACGTGTTGCCGCGAACTGTTAATCAAATCGAAATGAGCTGATTGAAGCGGGTGAACGAAAAAAATGCTGGCATCTAGGCACCCGGGTAAACGAGACATCATGAAAGACAATGTAAAATGTAAAAAGTAAAACAAAAAACTACGCCTTCCCTCTGGCTACTGCCAAAGGAGATTACTGCGATAACATTTGGAGTCATTTGCATATTTTCAGACGTCCGTCGAGCTCAGTCGCGCTGCTGTTTTCGCGCCAGTTCTTCTGAATCCAGCAGTCTTTTTGTGGCAGGCATGTGAAGGCCGAACTAAAGTCACTGGATTTGGGAAGGTACCGCCATTGCCTTTCCACGTGCTAGCCGGACACAAACAAATGCCATCATACAGACAACAAAACACCTCAAAGTGATTGGCTCATCGCTGTCGTTTGCCATGGTGATCGCCATTTTGGACCCTTTCAAAGCTTCGAAAGGGTCGTTAAAACCAATCGCATCAAGATTGCTCGCTATGGAGCATCATCGTACTGAAAGCGTTCCTCGGCCAATATGAGCGTCTTTGGCACTGCGCATGCAATCAACTTATCACGCATGCTTATTTCCTCAGATCTCTTACAATTACGTTGCTCTTCTTGCGTGTTTAAAGACAGTAAAATTATTTTTCAATGCCCCCAAGCACCGACGCCGCGTGTGATGCCGTACTTCTTCGTACCACCATCATACGCAACGTCCGTGCTTGGAGGCATTGAAAAATGATTTTGCTGTCTTGCAACACGCAAGAAGAGCAACACAATTGTAAGAGATCTAGAGAAATAAGCATGAGTGATAAGTTTATTGCATGCACAGTGCCATAGACACTCATATTGGCCTAGGAACGCTTTCAGTGCGATGATGCCCTTTAGCGATCTTGGTGCGATTGGTTTTAACGACCCCTTCGATGCTTTGAAAGGGTCCATAATGGCGATCACCATGGCAACTGACAGCGATGAGCAAATCGCCTTGAGAGTTTTGTTCGTCTGTATGTTGGCATTTGTTTGTGTCCGGCTAGCAGGTGGGAAGAAAATGGTGCTACTCCCATGGGTTTCAACTAATGAGCGGTCGTGCTATCGACGCGTTTACGGGCGGACACGATCTCACAGTTTTGTGTCCTGTGTTATACCACTGAAGAGGCGATAAATATGGGTGACACTAGCTGATGCCCAATTACCTGTTTGGGAAGAAGAAGAAGAAGAGGTTTATTTAGAAAGACAGAGAGGTCGCTCCATCTCTGTGCTGGGGAAGGGGAATAGGGGATGCCAAAGAAGGGCAAGAAGAAGAAATTAATAAAAACACACCAATTAATTTATTCTTCCTGTTTGGGATAACGCATACTAAATGCCCGTACGTATGTCTACTTACTCGCACCGCACGCGAAAAGCCAGTCACGGCAATCTACGGGGTGAATGACGACCAAACTTTCGACACTGTGCGCGCTGAGCAGTGGTGGGCCAGTTTGTTCATGATCACCCAAAAAAGCGCCGAAAAAACACAGGGGCGAGGAAGTAGGCAGAGCGCATGAGGTCTTCGAAAACCGTGTTTCTGGCTAGATACTCAAATAGGGTTTCTATAGCCGGTGACAGGTCAAGAACGAAGGGGAACCTCCCCTTTCCACTTCAGCGGAGCGAACGCTGGAGAGGAGGTCGCCTCCTCTCCGCCGTTCGTTCCACTGAAGTGGAAAGAGTGGGAGGAGCTTCCACTTTGTTCTTGACCTGTCACCGACAGGCCTTCGAAATCCAGGCGAAGGGCGAAAAATGCATAAGCGATACGTCCCTTTCCTTATCGGTGAATGAATATTCCTTCTTGTTGCGGGGGTTACTCAGAACTTATGAGAGATTATGTGTTAGTTCAAAGCCATATATATGTCTAGTTTTCACAACTAAAACCAGTCGCGAGTGAGCTCTTGTATGTCTACTTTTTCGTCCTTTTGTGTGTGTGTGTGTGCGTGCGCGCGTGTGTGTGTGCGTGTTTGCGCTCTTTTAAGTGGTGTGTTCAAAAACAACCCGAATGTCTTCACTTTCGTGCACAGAGAACGAGTAAGCGCCTAATGAACACAAAACAAAACACACATCACAGATAGGTAGCGATCCCTTGCAACTGCTCGCGGTAAACAGAAAAGTGATTCAATATTTCAATACCTGGATTGTCAAATCGATTCAACAACGATTGCATGCGTAACAAGGGTGAAAATCTGCAGATGGTATTGACATAAAAAGTACAGTGATTCCTAGTCAAACGGGAGGGGACATTGGATAAAAGCGAATCATTATCTCTATTTCCATTTACTATCTTGTAAAAAAAAAAATCAAGTCGCGTTTTGTTCTTCTGTTAGACAATGGCCTCAGCAAGAACTTATCTAGAAGTTGTAATCAAAATGAAAGCGGAGCTGAAAATAGCGGTCGTAATCGATACGTATTGAGCGTTTTTGCACACTTTCAATTTTTGTTAGGGTTCCGTGTTTCGGGGTTTATTTTTCTTAGATATCGGGGGTGTTTTTCCGAGGCTTATTTTTTCCCACAGATTCGGTGTTTTTCGGTGTCAATTTCCGGGATCAGAAAAACAATCGGCGTTTATCGGTAATTATGTTTCAGAAAATAAGACACACGGAAATGGGATTTCTCAACCTTCAGAGAACACCGGCTATGATCTGAATGAGAACGTATTTGGGCTGTAAACAAATGAAAATGGGATAGGGGATGTGGTTCCGAAGAATGAAACAGCCTCACGGACAGTTAACTGGGGGTTCTATTTAGGGTTAACATAAAATGAAACTGTAAATAGAAGTTTTTATCCCGCGTAGCTCTGGCTTTTCTCAGTCAAGGACAGCTCCAATTCGGAGTTTTTCGGTTTTCACCTATTGTGATAAAACCATCTCGGGGGTTAATTTTCGGGGTTTATCGGTATTTACCAAAAACACGGAACCCTAATTAAAATCTAGTCTATACCCTCTAATTTTACCGCATACGATCACTTACGACCAGAAAAAGAGGCAATTAATTGGTTGCTCAGCTATCGTAATCGTTTTGAATAAGTTCGTTCTTCGCGCTGGCACTTTTGACGCATTTAGTAAAACTACTTGAATTTATGTAACATTGAAAAACCCGGACAGGCACAATATACATTTTTGAATGAGTGAAGTGACCCTGTCATATTATGATAAAGCACGACAACGGGCATCCGAATTAAAATCGTGAGAAATCATTTTATCCCGAGTTTGTTAACACCGTGAACCCAATAAAACTACCGCTAATATCTATGTTAACGATTTTATCGACAGTATATATATATATATATATATATATATATATATATATATATATATATATATATATATATATACGTAATATCGGGTGGCTTATATACCCATTGCGGGCACGACGATGAAGTTTTCGTTAGGGTCTTCACCGACGACTGTATAATGTATTTTCAACTATACAAGATGTACCTTAATTCAAACATATTAAAAAAAAGGGGGGGGGGAGAGTGAGAGACGAGTTTTGTCTTTATCATGTACTTATCAGGCTCGGTGGAAAAGGGGATAATCGTCATAGTAAGTTGGCTCATTAACTAAAATCCGTTAATTAACTTTTTTTAACAATTGGTTTGAATGACCATGTTGCAAATGCAGTACTGACGACAATTACTATTAGAGGTCAGACCAATTAAAAGAATTCGCGAAAATAAGATAGTTTTCAAAATCGATTCACGTTTTTTAGCCAGATTTCAAAATTGCGTCAAAAAGAGCGCCGCAAGCCATGCCCAATATGACGCTTGGAGGAGTGACGTCGTCGTTTCAATCACGTCGTCCGACAGCGTGTCCTTAGTCGCCTTGGTGCGCGCATCGACGACACAACTGACGACGTGACTGAAACGACTTCGTCACTCTCAACAACAACAACAACAACGACGACGACGACGACGACGACGACAAGAAGACGAAGAGGAAGAAGACGAAGAAGAAGAAGGAGGAGGAGGAGGAGGAGGAGGAGGAGATGATGATGGAGGAGGAGGAGGAGATGGAGATGGAGGAGGAGGGGATGGAGATGAAAGAGAAGAGTTTATTGACACACGTTAAGTCGAAAAAGGTTTTACGGGTCCGTCAAAACCTCTAATGGCTTGTGGGACTTGGACCCCGAATTATTATTATTATTATTGTTATTGAATAATAATAATAATAATAATAATAATAATAATAATAATAATTTTCCATCAATCATTCAATTTTATTGGCTCTCGCAGGAACAACCATTCGGTCTTGGTACTAGCAGATCGGACATTCAAACACTTGAGAAAAAGGAGCATACTCCCATAACACGATAAAACATGAACATTATAACTAGACAAAAACACAGAAACATCGGAATCAGCGACACGTAAAATTAGAAGGTAAATATTTGTTGGTGCGCCGTCAAGATGATATATATAGTCGGGAGAGTACATCACGCAGAGAGAAGAAAAAAAAAAGTGTAAACCAACGGTTTCTTGCAAATATTAGTGGCTTTGTAGCCCTCACACCATCTGTAATCATTATAGGGTAGTTAAAAATGATAGTAAAACGTCAGCTATATAGGCTTCAAGAGTAAATCAACGAGTCTAGAAAACCACAAGAAAGAATAAAAATTTGTGTGCGGTTTACTGTAACGTCTGTCTCAGTGCCTTCCAGCTCTGCCTTAATTGGAACAGGTTTTGGATTGAGTGGTCGAAATCCTTTCGGCTGGAGTCAAAGATATGTCCAGTTTTTCAGGGTACAAATCACTAAATTCTCTCGATGAAAAAAAAAGGATGTATAATCATCATCATCGCCGTCTTTATTTACATTTAAAGAAAGAAATGGTGCAGCAAAAGGGAAAAAGCTTCAACAAGAAGCTTGACTGGCCCCCAGTCCCATCGGCAGCCATTGAACAAACAGTTTTCGTGCAATGAAAAGACTAAGAAATGGAATAGCAGAAACAAGACACAGACAGTTCAGATATTTAAAAAGATGCTGCGCAACTCTTCAGTAGATATTGTTTCTAGATTTCTAATTTTTTCTCTCCAAAGCTGTTTAGAAGCTTAAGAATAAATATAGAAGAATTTGCTGCCCGTAATATTGGAAGGTTCCCACCTGCAAGTGAGAACCTTCCAATATTCATTATATGAGGATTTATTATTATATTTTTTTCGAATGCAGCTATTTTGTTTGAAGAGCACTTTCTTTTCTGTTTTCATTCTTAATGGTGATTAGACGTCTATAATCAGATAGGTTATGCATTTTTAACATTTAAAGATTACTAAACGTGGTTTCAGTGTTGTTTAGGTTGAATGCCGTGGTTGTGCTCCAGACACGGTTGCAATAACTCAGGAGCGAGGAAAACAAAGCATTATAAACAATTATTTTCACGCGAACTGGTAGAATTTGGCTGAGGCGGTATGTTAAACCAACAACACGTGGCAATTTAAACACCAAATAATGTACATGGCTATCCCATGACATGTTTTCAGAAAGAAAAAAAAATACACCGCGTGTTTTAAAATAATCCCCGATCTCTATCGGACTTGATGGATTCGTCTTTTCCATTTATGCCGTCAATTAATAGAGCAGTTTACTCCAAAACTTAGTAAAGCTGACATCTCCGACAGTGTTGAAACGTTAGCTAGAATCTGTTTCCTTCTAACACCTTTTTTTCCCTCTAATATATAATTGTGGCTCCACATATAACCATACTGAAGCTTTGATGGGAGCTAGCATAGTACCAACCTGTTAACCACTCAGTATGTAAGTAAATGGCCAAACAAACACAAGCTGCTTGCGAGCGGACAACTCACGTTTGTGTGTTTCCCCTCAACGAAAGTGACATGGCCCTGACATCGGCGATTCGTTATCACTTCGGTTGCACAGTTGCTCTAAAGCATGCAATCAAAGATGCCTAGGAGTCCATATCTTGGTCACCATTGATGAACTATCTGTTGCAATGTCTGATTGCCTTCTGGGTGGTTTCATTTGAAATCGAACATGCGTATCGAGGTGGGCATTTTGATTTGCCTCAAACAATGATTATAGCCCCATTTCCGCGACAAACAAAACCACTTTTAAATTATTTCTTAACAATTTTTTTTTTACAAAATATTTGAAGATGAGCATGGCGAAATGCTACATTTAGATTGCTTGATTTTTGCACCGGGTTCGGCTGGCTGTTATGAAAAAGTGAAAACAAACACACTCACTGTAATTTTTCTTGTAAATGTACGATGCAAGGCCTATCCCCTCCCCTCCCCTCCCTTTTCTAAATTAAACTGCTTTGCCATATTGCCAGGCGCGCCGGTGAGCAAGCGCGTACGTGGCCGAATGGTTACTGGGATTTGTGGTCGCGCGGGGGATCTGGGTTCAATTCCAGGCAGCGGAATGCTCTTTTATTTATTCTTTCTACTTGGGATTTCCGCAAATTCGAAAACTTTCTTGTTTGGTCTAAAGTAACTGGATGGTGGGAAAGTAGCGCCAAGCCCCTCGTATGGTCACCATTTCGGCCCTTGAACAATTTCTTCTTGTCTTCTACAATCTTGGGGAGCCGATCTAAATGCTCTGGTGACGGGTGGCTTCATAGAGACGTTTCTTGTATAGCGAGGTTTTGCTATCCACACACCGGCGAAACAAGCGCACATCTTCGTACCACCACCACACGCGGAGTCAGTGCTTGGAAGCATCGAAAAATCACTTCCCTGTTTTGAAATATCCAAGAAGAACAATCTAAATGTAAGAGATCTATATAAATGGTCATGATTGATAAGTTGATTTCATATACAGTGCCAAAGACGCTTGTGTTGGCGAGGAACGCCTTCAGTACGATCATGCTCCATGGTGATCTTGGTGCGACTAAATTAGAACGACCCACTCAAGCTTCGAAGATTGGAAGGGGCCGAAATGGCAATTGCCATGGCAACAGAGACCGATTAGCCAATCGCCATGCGAGGTTTTGGTCGCCTGTGTGTTAGTATTTGTTTGTGTCTGGCTAACAGGCAGGGAAGGCAATGGCGCTACTTTCCCAGGATCCAGTGACTTTAGTCTGATCGAGCTACAAATGTTCTACAGGCCGAACGTTCAAGACCGAATGTTCCAGAGACCCACGCGGCTACAAAAGGTGCTCCGCCTACAAAGCAGGGGGCAGTCTCGCCCCAGCATTCGATCCTGCTCTTACGCCGACTTCGACGCCCGCGACGCTCTGTTGTTATCTTCTCTTTCCTTTTTGTTTTGGGCACAAGTTAGCCCCTATTTCCTCTGTTATTCTTTGTTTCGTCACCTCGACACTCGTGACAATATTTCATGTCCAAGCATATTTGATAGGTAGCATTTTTGACGTTTTGGTGACGTATTTGGAGCAAGGCCCCAAATATGTCACCAAAACGCCAAAGATACGATGTTTGTCATTTTTCATTTCTGACATGAAATGTGCCAAAGCAGTTTAATTTAGAGGAAAAAATAGTTCATGCATTGTAAATTCAAAAGAAAACTTACTGCGAGTGTATTCGTTTATAATAACCACCGACAGAACTGGGTACAAAAATCAAGCAACCTAGACATGCATTTCACCTTGTTCCAGTTCAAAAGTTTTGTAGAAAAGATATGTTTATTGCGGAAATGGCGCTATACTATTTTTTTTAAACAATTCAAAATAACCACTCCGACACGCGTGTTCGATTTCAAATGTAACCCTTCTAAGTTCACTCGTGACATTCTATGGTGTCATGACACATGACAGTGCGAGGTGTTCCCCGAGACCTGAGGCTCGCTACACTCTGGCACCGCAATGGAGGTTGTATGTCACCATTTCGAAACCAAACCAGTTATCTGCTGAGCCGCGGCAGTAGATGAGGTTGAAACTGGGCAGGGGAAAAAAAAAGAAGAAGAAAAAACCCGCCTAATTGCAACCATTAAAACTATCACTTGATGCGATTGCAGGTATACCAGGAACTCGGGAAAAAAACAATGTAGATAACTATCGAGAACGCAGTATATGTTATCTAAACGATCGGTGTGACCACCTGTGTAAGTGGGGGTGAGGACAGCAAGAGCAATGCCACGTCAAATACTTTGGCCACCTTCATGCTCCCCCCCCTCCCCCCCCTCTTTGCAGGAAGGAATTTTGTGAACTTTGCTCTATGCTAACCAAATCGACTGTAGACAGCGCGTGAAACGAGGCAGATGCACGCGCAGCTTCCACTGCTTCGCATAACACGTAAGACACAAACGCATTTGGCTCTTTCGACTGGAACACGAGCAAGTATCGCGCCGATCTGTTCATGGCTTCTATATCTCGTCGAACTCGTTTATTCAGCCAACAAAACGCGGACACATCAGCGGACGGAGATATACAAAATACTCTTACCGTTATGCTAACATCAATGAGCAAAGACAAACTATGTAAGCCTCGATTGAGACAACCTGCGACATGATTTAGAGTCGAAATGAAGGACGCCCTGAACAGAATACCGTCGAACAAGAACTGCATCGTGGTTTCCAAATGTCCAGCCTTCGTTTCGTCCAATTACTACGCCTTCTCATCTGTACTATTTAGCTCTATAGCTACGCTATCGGCAGACTACGACCTCACGTTGAAAACAAGAGACAACATTACCAAACTGTATGACTCTTCCGGGAAAGGAAAGAAATCGAGAGAACAAGGAGGCAGCCCCTATATCGTTGACAGATGTAGGGGGGCCAAAGCTTTCAAGTATGACAACGAATCGGGCACCGGCAAAGGGTAAACGAAGAAACCAGGAAAAAAGCAGGCATGGCCTGCATGGCACTCACATGTGAGCCCGACGTCCCTTATCTGCAATCCACCACCTACCCGCGAAGCTTATCACTCCCGCTAGGCTAGACGACAAACTCAAGTGCCTCAACGGCCTCGGCGCAGAGGCGTCGTTTAGAGCTCAAGCTTAGCTCTTTTTATTGAGTAGAAATTCAATATTATGTATGTACAAAATCAAACCTGTTCCATATATTGGAATGAACGAATGTTTTGAAAATGGAGAAAATTCGGTATCAATTTTAATTTTTTTAAATGTGATTAATGTTTTTATTAGTAGCGAGGTATAATAGGCTCTGTTCAGATAAGATCATGCACGCGAGTCCAGACTTATTTTTAGCTTTTGTTAATTTCTTTTTATATGTTACTCCACAACATGTGTAGGGAAGTACGAGGGGCGTTCATAAAGTCCGTATTATCGGCACAAAAATTGAAGAAGAAAAAAAAAAACGGAAATAAAACAGGCATCGACATGAGCGCGCATCCCTCTAGTTTCCGCACAGTATAAACATCGCATGCTATAGTTGCTCGGAACACCGCTAGGGAGTCGAAACAAAAATGGCACCGCCCGTCGGTGCCACGCACATGCAGTGATCCGTTTCTTTCATCTGAAGGGAAGCAATGCCAAGGATATTCATTCCAATCTGGGAGCGTTGTCCGGGAACAACACCCCATTTTTTGACACTTTGGTTAAATGGCGCAGACGCTTCCAGTGTGGCCAAATAAGAGGAAAGCATTTCAAGGACGCCGACCAAGTGATTGTTGAAGTGGAGCGATTTCTGAAGACTCAAAACGAGGAGTTCTATAACAATGGCCTCCGGCATGTGCTGCATCACTAGAAAAAGTGGGTAACTTTTGGTGGCGAACATGTAGAGAAAGTCTCAACTCCTACTCGAGTTTGATTGCTGAATCTCTATACCTTCCCGACAATAATACGAACATTATGAACGACCCTCGTAATCAAAAAAGATTTCGCGAAAAACGTAATATTTATATAAAAGAAAAAAACAAACATTTTGTGCGCCAGAATGGCATATTCGATTGTTCAAGTTTTCGTTTCTGTTGTGTTTGGTGACGCCTAATACGCAAACTACAAGTATGAGAACTTTCAAATATTTGGCACCTATAATAGATGATGGGAACTATTGAGTGATATAAGTACAGCATTGTAGCAGTCATATATTTCGCGTTAAAAATGCGCAAACATGGCTCTTTCGTCGTTTTGCCACTAAATATTTTAGCCGTTTTCTACAAAACTTGAGCAGCTACACCATTGTTGTTATTAAAACGTTCTTTCGAATGATATATAAATAATTGCTTTATCTCAAAGATTAAAATTTGCATGTCACCCAAACTTGTTTTAAATTACAAAGTTAACAAATTTGAAGGGGTAATAAAAAAAATCTTCGATTTTCCTGACATTTATAGGGAAAGTCCTCCACCATACATTTGTGTTTATTCATGAAAAACGTTTTGCATCATATTGTTTCCTTCAAAGTTACAGCGCTGTAAGTTACAGGCACTTTTGCCCAAATCCACCGAAGAGATTATTTTTTTATTCCGTTTATTTTATGACTATACTCCGCGTCGCTAGTTGTGTGCAGTGCCGGCGAGGGCAACACCAGGCGGAGAGAAATAGTCGGTGACAGGTCAAGAACGAAGTGGAAGCTTCTCCCACCTCTTTCCACTTTAGTAAAGCGAACGCTGGAGAGGAGGCGACCTCCTCTCCGACGTTCGCTCTGCTCAAGCGGTAAGAGGTGGGCGGAGCTTTCAGATCGGAGAAAGGGAGAGCACATAGGAACGTTAGAGAGGACAGGAGGTTTCTCTCCCCGTCCGCAGCCTTCCTGGTGCTTGCCCTTTCTCCTCTTGCCTGGCGTTGCCTTCGTCTGTTCTGCACACAACTAGTGACACTGAGTATAGACATATTTTGTGCTCTATTCGGGTACTGGGCTCACGTTTAATTATTGTACTAATTAAAACAATACCCGCGTTGCTCGTCCTTTTTATTAATTCAACCAATAATCCTCCGTTTGAAATGGCAAGTTCTATGAGGTTTAGCTTAACTTTTTACACAAAAGTGGGACGAAAACTTGTAATCGCAGCTACAACATTTTTTTTTTACACAAAGTAGCAGAAAACTATGTACAGCGGTGCAAATTATATGCGAATATTTATATGTTCGCGATGAAGTGGGAATGTTTGAGGCACCAAGATTGTTACACTGCTATTCATGACGGTTGAACGTCCGGCTGACCAAGGTAAACCTGCGACTTCACTGGCACTTTTAGCAAGACGTCCGTCAAGGTTAAAAATATTTGGGATTATTTATTCGAGTAAAATAAAATAAAGAAAAAGAAGTTAGTAAAGATATTGAGCGCACTAGTAGCCCACGTTTGCAGGAGGGTGTATTGAGAAGTCCGTTTTCTGCCCCTCTTGACAAATTCCTCTAAGCTACCCCCCCCCCCTTCCCCCCCCCCCCCCCCAATGTATTGCAATAATTCCAACAAGCGCGAGAAAATCTGTCAAATCTGAATGTGGCAAATAAAGAATGCACGAACTGATGGACGCTGTCTACGTTCGCAGCGTTCCGGGAGGAGGATTCGAAAGCCATTGTGGAGCAAGTTGAGGCTCCGGCTCTCCGAGGTACGTGGAAGCGAGCTCGACTTGAAACAGCAGACAAAACTAGGCCTGAATTCATCCGGGCAAAACAGTCAATAGTCACGTTGTCGGTGTATTTAAAGGATGGCGTTCTACCGATGCGGAAGCTGTTTTCTCGCCTTGGATCGTTCGACGTGACAGATCGGAAAGCAAAGCAAAGCCGCTAAGCCTAAAGACCTACACGACCAGCCATAAATCTAAAGTTAGAGTCACGAGGTTTGAAGGGCATCCGTCGTAACCCTGTCTCCACATGCACGCAGTTTACAGAGGGACATGCTATCACTTTGACTCGCTGGTGGCACCGGCGTTAAGGGGCCCGTCGTCAAAATCGAAATGCCGCGAGCCCTCGACGCGCCCAATACAAACGGCACCGACCTAATCGGCGCTTAATCAGAAAGGCGGCGACTCAGACAGAAAGCAAACCCTACAAGCCCTACAGCGGTGGCACCCTTGTGAACCTGAAGAGGGGCTTTACGGGAACCAGAGACGGCATGGACCGCAGAGCACACGCAATTATCGCCTGTTTTCTCCCGGTGCACTTTTTTTCGGAGGAACTGATTGCCACGTGCTTAGCCTTGTACGATGCTTCGTTCATTTTCGAAAAGCTAGTGACGCATTATCTTTCCTTCTTCTCTCCCGTCATGCTTTCGGGAAGTCGCCGAGTATTGTGATCGTGAGACAAGACAACACGCGCGCTGCGGTCCTAAACAAACGGAAGTGGTTGCCAGTCCCGTGTAGTTGCGTCTTGACAGAACTTCTTCAGCCATGGCAGCGACTTACAGCGCCGGTAGAGTATTTTGTGCTATCTTAGTAAACACAAAAAGAAGAGAGCAGATCAGAGAAATTTTCGCAGTATGTAGATGTAGATGTCAATTCTCCGAAAAGGATCGGGCAAAATCCTCCAGTTCCAGCATTTTTTTATTGTAGCCACATTCGGAGCTGGCCGCTTTTCCTGCACTCGTTGGAAGTATTGCAGCACGGGTGAGTGCTGACTTTTTTTAAATTCATGTTTTTTTTCTTCTTTTAGTACAATAAAATATCCCAAATATTTTTAATCGTCTTGCGAAAGTGCCAGTGAAATCGCAGGTTTACCTTGGTCAACCGGACGTACAATCGTCATGAATAGCAGTGTAACAAGCTTGGTGGCTGAAACATTCCAATTTTACCGCCGAATATAGGTATAAATATTCCCATATAATTTGCACTATGTACAAACTTTTCAACTACTTTCTGTAAAAAAAAAAAATGTAGTAGCGATTACAAGTTTTCATACCGCTATTGTGCAAAAAGTTCAGCTAAAGCTCAGAGAACTAGTCATTTCAATGGGCAAAACAAGATTATTGGTAAATTAATAAAAATGACAGGCAACGCGGGTACTGTTTTCATTAGTAGAATACTTGAACTTGAGCCGAATACAGCACAAGAATATATCTAGTAATAAAATACACGTAATCAAAAGATAAGCTCGTCTGCGGCGTTGGGCAAAAATGCCGGCGTGGATGGTATATTCTGCAGAGCTATAACTTTGAAGGAAACAAAATGATGCAACATGTTTTTCATAAATAAACACAAGCGCATGGTGGAGAATAGAGCCACTAAATAAGCTGCGCTTAGAGTATCGGCACTCCGTTCCCCGACATTGTTGTGGGCGCCGCCATTTTGGCTCGTATGCAGAACAGACGCAACGGCCGATCGTTATTATTCAAAAGTGCGACTTCCTCAGCATCAGATTCGGTGTTAGGAAGGTCATGTAATATTGCTTTGCTCTGTCGCGAACGGTTTAAACATTTGTGGAGGGCGGAAAAGCATTTCCTGTGATTTCAGATAAAGCTTCAGATAACTGGCAACCATGATTTTAAGCCACAATATGGCCAAGTGTCGTTACTCTGAAGCGTAGCTTATTTAGTGGCACTAGTGGAGAACTATCGCTATAAATTTCAGGATAATCGAAGATTTTTTTTTTAATCCCCCCCTTGCAATTTCTTAACTTCGTAATCTAGAACAAGTCTGGAGGGACATAAAAATTGCAATCTTTGAGATAAAGCAATGATTTATAGATCATTCGAAAGAAAATTTTAATAGCAATGACAAATTCTAATGTTGTAGCTATTCAATTTTTGTAGATATCTACAAAATTTGAATAGCCGCGGCTCAGAAATCTATATCAAAACGTCAAAGGAGTCATGTTTGCACATTTTTGACGCGAAATATATGACCTATATATTTAAATCAATAGTTGCCATGATGCATTATAAGTGCAGAACATTTAAGATTTCTGTCATTTGTAGTCTCCGTAGTAGGTGTTACCAAACATGGCAGAAACAAAAACTTCAACAACCAAATATGCCGTTCTGGTGCACAATTTTTTTTCTTTCAATGTTAGGTTTTTGCG